ATTAAATAATGATTGAACTAGACATTTATCATTAGGCTATTATTTTAGGTCTACTTTAAACGATGGATGAACCTATTGAAAATCTCAAAGCAACAGTCATTAAGTCTATTGTGTATGGAAATGTATCGCGTTACCTGGGTAAAAAACGGGATGAAGATGGTCGGACTCATCAATGGACAGCATTTCTGCGCCCATGCGCATCAGGCGAAGACCTTTCTACTTACATAAAAAGGGTTCAATTTAAGCTTCATGATAGCTACACCAACCCTGTGCGCATATTAAATAAGCCGCCATTTGAATTAACAGAGACCGGTTGGGGGGAATTTGATATTATTATGAAAGTCTTTTTTACAGATTCGAATGAAAAACCCTTGATTATTACTCATCTAATCAAATTATTTCATTGCGATCACGAGATAATGATGGGCCACAAAAGTCTTGTCCGTGAGATCTATGATGAGATTGTGTTTGTTGATCCTTCACCTTCCTTCTATCGTGCTTTGACAAGTTCTGCTTCAAGCCATCCATGCTCACAAATTCCTTGTATATTCCACGAAACAGATTTTATTTCCGCTAAAAGACAAGCACTGGAGCAAATACAAAATTTAAATGACAAAGTCACAAATGCGATTGAAGTATATCGGGAGAATTTGAGGGAAAAAAAGGATATTGTTGACGAAGTTCGTGCTATTATTGAAGGTATTGAGACAGCGACTCTTGGCCCCACTGTCAATTGACTTTTATATATCAGTGTGCTTCTCTTGTAAATATATATGCATTCTATTTTCGCTTTCTACGCGCGGTAATCCTGGGAATTAATTTATTTCTTTGATATATAGTTTATTTAACTTACAATTATATGCATATACTACTTACGTGCGGTACAAATTCGTATAATTTTGCTTCTGACTATACGAAAACCAATGGTACCTCTATACCGGCAAGTCAATAATATCTGATTTTTAAAAATGCGTCTTTCACATAATCTAGTATCTAGATATTGTTTTCTTAGTAGGCGTCTATTTCTACTGATAGGAAACTGGAACAGATATCAAGTGGCTTGGTTAACACTAGACTAAAAGTAGTATAGGCAAATTACATGACCTGATTAGAGCTGAAACAAGCACTTGAAAATCCCTTTATCTGCTATTTTTTCAAGAAGACTCAAATCACATAATATGGTGGACAGGATAGATAAGATCCCTATATCCCGACATACGAAATTAAGGAATTTAGGCATTAACATCAGCCCAAGGAATCATAG